CAAGCCAGCTCCCTTGCACAGGAAGGTCACTGAAATAGTCTTTGCCATGGCTGTTCTTGCAGCTTATGCTTTCTGCTGTCCCTTGTATCTCCCTGAGTTGCTGTTTATTGCTCTGCAACGTAAGCAGGAAAGGAACAGTGGATTCCCACACATCATAGGCAGCAGGAAGGAAGAAGCAATGGCAAGTAACCATTCTGTCCTGCAAGAAGGAGAAGTATGAAGAAATTCAACTTACCTGTAACATAGTGATCGTAACTGCCAGTTTATGAAGGGAAGAGGGAAGAGCTATTTCCAGACAGAGCACTTGTTTTTTCTCTGCTTGATTCATGGACAGTATCAAACTAGGCTGCATCTAGATCTGCCATGTGACAGAAAAATCACCTATGTCATGTCACCTTCTTCTAGTGGAGGTCACACCTCCTTCACAATGTCACACAGCCTCTCTTCATAACATCATACAACAAGCACAGCTGGTCAGCACAGGAAATGTATGAGTGGAGGCTCTATACACCGGGGGTGGGGGTAGAAGCTGCTAAGATTTGATGGGTGGAATTCATCAGATCGTATGGAAATATCTGCATCAGATGGAAATATATGCTCTTCACCTTGGTCTCACCTTAGCGCAACGGAAAGAAATAAGCAGTCAGAGCAGGGAACATTCCCGTGTCAATTTAGACATCTAAAATAGCACAGATGACTCATACCCAGAATGCACTTATTTCTCTCCACACACTGTAAAGAGAGCTAGTGTGACTAGCTCAGATGTAGGTATCTATAGTGCAGATGTTTAAAATTAGGGGAGACAAATCCCGCCTAGTGAACTGGAGCCAAAGGTTCTGGCAAACCAGGAGTAGATGGGGAGCGGGGATATCCCAACACTGAGACATCTCCATGCCGATGCTGACATACGTGCTCTCATTGTAGCCAGCAGAGATCTCCCATCAAAGCAGTTAGCAGTATTTAGTGGGAGGCCAAACCGACCATGACTGGGGCTCATTTCAGCTGCTCACACAAAGGTACTTAGGGCCCTTTGAGACACTCTAGAACATACAAGACATGCAGCAAATTTATCATGCTGTCCTATGTTCAACTTGCAAAAAAAGTGTATTTTGACCTTAACTCCCTGGGGGGAGTGGCTGACACACCAGAAGGCTGTCCTGCCACTCAGAGGGACCTGGACAGGCTAGGGAGCTGGGTGGAGAGGAACCTCCTGAAGTTCAACAAAGGCAAGTGCAGGGTCCTGGGGTGCATTAGGCAGAGTGTTGCCAGCAGGTGGAGGGAGGTGATCCTGCCCCTCTCCTCAGCCCTGGGGAGGCCTCACCTGGAGTACTGTGTCCAGTTCTGGGCTCCCCAGTCCAAGAGAGACATGGCGCTACTGGAGAGAGTCCAGCGGAGGGCTACCAAGATGATTAGAGGGCTGGAGCACCTCTCCTATGAAGAAAGACTGCAAGAGCTGCGCCTGTTGAGCCTGGAGAAGAGAAGACTGAGAGGGGATCTCATCAACATGTACAAGTATCTGAAGGGGGAGTGTCAAGAGGATGAGGCCAGTCTCTTCTCCGTGGTGCCCAGCAACAGGACAAGAGGCAACGGGCAGAAACTGAAGCACAGGAAGTTCCATCTGAACCTGAGAAAAAACTTCTTCCCTGTGAGGGTGACAGAGCATTGGAACAGGTTGCCCAGAGAGTTGCGGAGTCTCCTTCGCTGGAGATATTCAAAACCCATCTGGATGTGATCCTGGGCAATATGCTCTAGAGGACGCTGCTTGAGCAGGGGGGTTGGACTAGATGATCTCCAGAGGTCCCTTCCAACCTAAACGATTCTGTGATTCTGTGATTAACTAGGCAAAACATCTACCTGGTGAGCTGGTCTACTGCACTGCTGCTCCCAGCAGAGTAAACTGTACACACAGTCACTTACAGCAGATTGAACCATCCCCTGTTAAGAGGCTGGCTATGAAGTCAGGAATTGTGAAGATGTAAAACGACCTGTAAGAATATACTAAAAACCAGTACCTCATTTGAACAAACCTTTAAAAATCAGTTCAGGGTAACTAAGGGTAAAATCAAATCACCAAAGCCACAAAAGCAAGGAACTGCCCAGTTAATTATGCCCTTTGATTGCTTCCACTCAATACTTCTTGCATGAAATAGTACTTTCGCCTTTTCTAGACTAATTTTGTGCATAATATCTTAGTTAATATTGATTACTACTGTTTGTCTTTGATTTCTTTTCATTTTCATAATATTCCTAGCAACAAACCTAGCCTGCATAATCATTATCTTACTCCTTAAGATCTTTAAAAATTTCATAGCAGGTCTAAAAACTCCTTCTTATTCCTCTGTGTAGTCTTATGACAAATAATTCCTCCCTGTCTGCTCCCTATTAAAAATAAATTTATGTGAAATCTTTTGTCTCTAAGCTTCAATCATACATATACGTTACTTGTTTAAACAGCAAAGAAGGCCATTTCTTGTGTCTATATCCCGTCTGACCATAAACTAAATAAAGAGAAAGGGAAGCAAAATACAGCGAACGGAAAGTCAAAAAACATTATATAAATGTAAACATAAAGCAAGCAGCATGCACCCAGCACATCCCAGGTGGGATGCACAGAAGTCTGTATTGCCCAGGTCTGTTGATGCCCATTCTTGCTCCCATGGGGGTTAATGGGAGAGTCAGGACACTGCTGACATTTTTTGACAATTCTGTCTTTATCTCTGTAAGTGATCTCAATAAGGGAAAACAACGCATGGGATGAATGTGGATGGAGTAGAATATGATAAAATGATAAAAAAATTATATCATTTACACTCAAATCAAAGTGAAGGTGATTCAAAAAGAATAAACATGGGCATGTATGGAAAATAAGAGGTCATCTTCTAGAATAAGAGGTCATCTAATGGTCCCTTTTCACTACAACTGGCATACTATCAATTGGCCATAACAAAACGCATGAGTTGTTCCATGTGCACTGGGAATAAGAAAGGCTGTTTTCATACTAGTATCTCAAGTCTTTACTGCCTAAAAAGGACAAGCTCCCATCAAATCTTTTCCTGGAGTTAGGATTTTACGTAGTCTGTCTGCAAGATGGTTCTTTGGTATTTAACAACAGATGAGTTCACATTGCAGCCATCCCCCTCAGCAGAGACCAAGGGAAACCTTTGTTCATTACCTGCTTACCTTTTTATACATGTTTAGAAACTTCATATCTCCAAAACCTTCTGTTAGATCTGGTTGAAACTAGCTAACAGGTTCAAAAGTTGTTAGCTGGACATACAGCCTGTGATCACATAAACCTTGTTCTTCAAAAAAAAAAAAAAAAGGCTAATACTGATGACAGAAACAGTGGCCACAAAACTGATATGGATACTACTAGCAGATAATGTTCTGCAGGTGGCACCAGAAACGGAGGTAATCTGGTAAGATTGGCCAAATATAAAGCCAACAAAGCACCAGAGCAGGTGTCCCCAGTATTAGCTAGTAGCAGATATGCCACAAAACAGCCTAGTGGAAGCAAACTCAAGCTCTACTGCATTCGAACTACAAGGTCACTGCCAGACAACACTAACTTCTCATTTATTAGCAACTCAGCTGCTTCAGATCAATTTAAAATCATGAGCCAGATTTGTCTCCTGGGTTACATTTGTTGATCTTCTGTTTACTCTAACGCAAAAACTGTCCAAACTTAAAGGGGATTCACCTTAGTTAATGCAATAAACCATTTTTTCAAAGAATCCATTTTAAATAGCTTATGATTAAAAACAACTGTACAAGCAAATTAATATCCGAGATAATACAATATGGAATATGTAATATAATACAATACAATACAATATAATAAAATTCCCTTGTGGGTCTGAATGGATGGAAAAGGAAGAGAAGCTTTAAGAAGAAAATCAAGGACATTGTAGGCACCTCTGTCCCAAAGAGTAAGTAGAAAAGAGATGTTAGCACTAAGGGTTAGTCACAAAGTCAACATAGCAGCATTGCTATGCATATGCATATATGTTGCATATTTAACATATACACTTATGGTCCAGGATTTTCCAGGATTTTTCTTCCTGTTTCTGAAAGGTAAGGCAGCCACAAAAATCAACACGCTAAAGAAATTGCCTACATCAAGGTAAATTACAAACTTTTCTGCTTATTCAGTTGTGGTTATTCAGAAAAGACTTTATCTAAATGACACACAAGTTACTACATTACATTTTTTTATCTAGAGATGAAGAGAAGGGATGCTGGTGGAGCAGCAGTGAATGGGATTAAATAAAGTCGAACAAGCTGATATATATATATAAATAGGCAAGGTACTTTGTAATGAGAAAGTTAGTATTTTGCGTTTTCATATCTTCTTTCACCTCAGGGTGTACTACAAACACAGTGAACTGCTCAATTTCCCTCTTCCAAAACGTTTCTCTGTCCTTACTGTTCCAACCATACTAAAGAATGAAGCAAGAACAAAGTTGGATTTGTGGCTCTTGTGATATGTAACAACCCTTTTCTTCACTAGATGGCACCCATCTACTCTTGTGTATCAGTGTTCAGTACGGCAAAAAACAAAAGCATCATTTTCAGAGAAGAATATAAAATTATTCTTCATGTTGAATGCTTTTACTGCTTCTTTACCCTGTGCATTGTACTCTTTGTGTACTTTTAAGGGTGAGGTGTCACATTACCACAAACATCTACTTCAGCCTATTCCATATTTGTGTCACAACTGATTATAGCCCAGAAATTTGCATGAGAGATATCCGTTACACCAAATCAGACTTTGAATCACAGTGGTCAAAATAGATTACACACATCAAATTAATTCTCTCCCTCTTCCTCTCTGAAATAAGCATAAATCTAGACTTTATATACTGTGCCAAATCCTCAGCAGGTATGAATTGATTTAGCGTCACAGAAGTTGATTGATGCCAGGTGAAGATCTGCACCTGCAATTTAGATGCTGGCCTGCAGAGCACACCTTGGCTTGTTTTCTTTTTCTTAACTCCAAGTCATGATAATTGAACTCATTCAGGCATGCTTCTCACTTCTTAGTCACTCCCATTTGAGCATTGGTATTAGACTTAAAATCAGCAGACAACTCTTAGTTATAAGTCAAAATGATCTTTTCACAAAGCAAGTTTACTGAAGACATCAGAGCTGGGAAATCAGTTGTTCAGTACATCAGTAGGTGCACTGAATATCATGGTAACTGATACAAGCAGAGCAAACTATTGCTCAGTTCCATCATTTTACATTTAGTTGCCTCTTACTGCCACTAGATGATAGTATGGGAACATGAGTGTTGTTCAGCTGCATACTAGAGCCTCCCTTTTTGAATTCCTGCCAGTATTCATATTTTTATATGTAAAGATTATACAGAAAGGCATCAGTGCTACAGAGTCAGCCTTTGAGTAGAAGTGTTTAACTGTATCCCCAGCGACTTCCATACATTAATATACCCAAAGAGTAGTGGATGCTATTATTTGGCCATAAACCCACACCGGGCTTTATTTAGACATAGATGTGATGCTAAATTGGTCCTCTTTTTCTCTCTTTGTAGATGCCCATTCAGAGCTGTAGTGAGACATTCCATCACAAAGGTCATGGTAATTTCGTTTCCCTCTGAAGAAGCCTACGAATGGCTCCAGGTAACGTTTAGACTCCACCTCAGGGACATCCCACTCGCTGCTAGTTCTGCCCATCTACTTTTTGCTTCTCCCACCCTTTCCATTTCATGCCCCTTGTCTTGAGAGGGCTCCATCCCTTCCTCATCCAATTGAAAAGCTCCAGTCTAGAAGGAGACATGCATCTACAAAAACACCTTGAGCACACTGCTATCATTCCCTCCACAAACCCTTTCTCTCCCAGTTCACATAGTTTGTTCTCTCCCAACACAGCAAATTTAAAAACAAATGGTTCTTTCTCTCAGCTCTTCTGTAAATAGCCAAAAACTGCCGCTACACTTTTTTTCCCTCATTCCTCCTAAGTAATTCTTAGGAATCTGGTTTCTCTTTACCTGCAACAACAAGGTCAATTCTCCTCCCGGTAGCCTGGATTGCCTCTCCCCAACCAGGGAAATGCTTCCCAGGAATGGGCAGGAGGCCAGCTCCAGTTCTGCACAATACCTTTCACCTCAGGTGGTTTCAGAGACGTACGCACATTTCCATCTCTCTCAGTGGCAAAAAATCTCTTGGTTCATAACCTGTGGCAGACAGGTTGTGTGGTGTGGATTTACTGGCATCACAAGGTAAGCCAAACACTGAAAAACAGAACCCTATTTAAAAAAATTGACTTTTTGCACAAATATGGACAGCTAAGTGAGCAGCAGGATGCTTGAAAATGAAGGGTTAAGAGGAGGTAGTCCAAAAAGTGTTAAGGGGTAGAGTTATGCATAATCTAAAGATTGCGTTGCAGGTTAATTCCCCTAGTACAGGGTTTAATTCAGCCACCAGCACTACAAGGCCCTGAGCTTCCCGTCAAAACTAGAGCTGGATTTAGATCTGGTGGAAACCTGGTATTTCCGTTTTACTGGAAGTTTTGCTACTTTGACATCTTTTTGTTTCAACTCAGGATGAAAATATATTTTTAAGATTTTCATATTTAAAATACTCATTTTTATTTAATAATTGGTTATTTAATAGTGCATAAACTGCTTGTTATATGGCATAATTGTTAAATGAGTCATTTTTGTAATCAGTAAGAGTATCTTCTACTTAATGTTGATTAAAATAGCAACATTATTTTTGCTTTGTATTCAGAATATTTGCATTTTTGTTGCTTTGTATTCAGAGTATCTCGTGTTTATAGTGTCATAGCAGTCCCAAAAGGAGAAACTGATTCAAGTGCCAAACTCTTTTGTTACTGCAAACAAGAGAACTCTCAGAAAAATAACTTGTTTCAATAAGAAAAAAAGACATAAAGAAAAAAGTAAAAATTTTAAGCATTATGTTGAATGCTACTACTTACATAGTGTAAGATAGATACACTAACAATAATAAAAAATCAAAACCCTTTATAGGTCAAAATGAAGTGTCAGAATCCAAAATGAAATTCTGAAACATTGCAAAATGAAAAACATTGCAAAATGAAACACCTTGAAAATGTTTACCTGAGAATTCTTTGCCCTTTGTGAACCTTCGTCACTTTTGAAACGACAAAATTGTTTTAATTCATCTTGTCATCTTGTTCCATTTTTCGTCAAAAATTGCAACCAAAAAATCCAACCAGCTACTTTTTTTAAAATCCGTATTTGAAATGGTATTTCCTGGGCTTATGTAAAAAGAAGCACTCCGTTTCCTTGGAGTATGTATCAATAACATGCTCTATATCAATAGATAGATCAATAACAATGTTCTATACTCAATGTAAAAAGACTAATTTTTGCAGTCCTGTTTTTTGACTTAAGACAGTTAAAAACTCACAGCCAGGGTGAAGTTCTGCTCCTGACGTCCAACCTGCCTTGAAAACGTATTTTCAGGGATAACGTCAGCTGTCAGAAGCAGCAAGGGGAGGCGAGCTGGGAGTCAAGGATGACACACAGCCACCGGGATGCAACACGGTGCGGTCCAGACCAGGGGTGGCCGCAGGTGGTGGCCCCCAGGCAGCCTGCAGGGACACGGCCAGGCTCTTCCCAGCGAGGGAGCTCCCCTTGGACTCAGCCAGGTCAGCTCCTGCAAGGGCCTGCGTGCTAGGCCCTCACATCAGTAAAATAACAAAACAGCCTTAGCACCTAAATGCGCAGAATATAGCATGTTGACTGACATATATCTTTTATGTGAAGAAGTCAGTCAAGAGCCTGAACAGGTGACTGTACAAAAACCTGTTATTCTTGCCTTTTTAAAATGCACCAACATGCCCACTAATTAAGAATAAAATAAATAAGGGTTATGGGCAAATATGTATCGGGAAAAATCATCCGTATATACGTAAAAAGTAAAACATAACATTAATCTGGGAAATCTGTCAGTACAGGCTTACTAAACAGAAATGTTCAAAAGTCTTCCACAGAAGCACACAAATACTGATATAACAATACAGGTTTCAATGCACATGGAGAATACCCCAAATAAAATAAAACTAACTTACTATTTGACTTTCTCCTAAAATGGTGGCTCTTTGCTCCCCATACTTATTAAAATAAGCAACCAAGACTCATTTGCTCCAAATCACAAGATAGTGGCAGAACCAAATTCCACTGAAAGCAATAGAAATCTTACCACGCACTTCAGCAGGCTTTGCCCAGCCAGCACGTAATACTGATTTCTGCCTCCAATAAGGGTCTGCCTAAGTCGGTCAGCAGCTGGAGGGCAAAATAAATGGGCAAGGGCTCACTCACTTCCGATCCCTCTGATATTTTTTGCCCAGTCTCTTGCAGAGGTTAGTAACAGATGGGCAGTCTTTGCTCCTTGCAGCACAGCTACAGACATTACACTCAGACCTTGTTCCCTCTACCCAAACGGTAAAATAAGGACCGTGGCAACCAAGTACATAAAGGTCTCTGACAATACAGCTAACTCCTTTTCTATCTCGTATTTTAAGAGCTGCAAAAACATATCCTGAAGAACATAAGAACTGGGGGAAGGAGGTGTTTTTTTCCATCGCCTTTATTTTTTATTATAAATTTTAATAGAAATTCAGACTGCTTAAATGCTCTACACATCAAGGCAATCTTTATAAATGTGGCGTGACTTCCATACAGCTAAAATAGGAGGATTTGGTATCTAAAAAAGTTTCTCACCTCTTTAAAAGGAATTTGAAAAGGTCTCTTTTCATGTTTGTGGGGAAATCAACCTATTGTATCAGAGACTTTCAAAAACTGAGTGAAAAATAAACAATTGACATCTTAGGCACTTACGTAATGAGGGAGCCTCAGATATCTGGAACTCCAGTTTGGACTATCTTAATATACCTACAATGATTTGACAAAAGTATATTGGAGATGCAAAAGGTTTCTGAGGATTTCCGTAGCAGGTAGGCAGGCAGCAAACAACCATGACATGCAAATTGCTCCACTGGAACAGTCAGCCCTCGCAAATTCTGTAAAGAGTCTTTGAATATTAGCGTAGAACCATATCCACAGTATTTAACAGATATTAATGCACAATTCAAAGAAAGCCTTACATACAGAAATCATACCTACCTTTACAAGAAAAAAGGTAAGGCCATTCATTTCTTACAGTGGTTGCTCTAGTGCTGGGCTGATATTCCAATTTATAAGAATGTGCTACTGATCTTCAAAATTAATAGTAAACATATATACACTGGGTTCAAATCCACAGAGTAAATATATCAAGCAAAACAGTTTGTTTTCTTAAGTATACTGTCAGGCTCTGTGGATATGAACAAATTTATACGATTATTGATTATTCATATACCGTGACACTATAAAGTAGATACGAGTTGGTCCTGCCTTGCTGAGAGAAAACATCTGGAAGCACATGCCAGATCCGCTCTGGATATATTGTAGATATACCTTCCATACTGATCATACACGTATTTTGATTAATATTTTAGACAAAGGGTCGTTCCTCCTTAAAGATCATCTTAAAACACTGCACAGAGTATTCCTGAACACCACAATCAGTTGGGGTTCAGTTTTGTGGTCATCTTTCTACACCTAACAGGAGGATAAACTGATGTGCAACTGGCTCTTAGGAAGCTTCAAAGTAACCCATCATTTCCTTTGTGAAATTATGGTTTGTTTTTTTTTTTTTTTTTAATATATATCACATTTTCAATTACATGCAATTGTAAACTGGATACATGAATTATTTGTGCAAAATGACTTATTCCTGCTATATACATAAACTGGAAAGATATTTGAAATTTGTTGCTGCTTTTCAGGGGGTCAGCAGTGAAATCTGACTAAAGGTGGAAGCTGTTTTCCTGCCAAAAAGAACTATTGGCTAAACCATTTTTCTGACATTCGTTGTCTATTTATGGAGAAATTTAAACCGTGGAGGATCAGTATTTGTTTCTTTGTTTTTTGCAGTAAGATCATCTTATGCAAATGTGAAACATTTACTTTAAGAAATTATCTGGGGCCTTAAATAGATCATGCACTGAAGCATTCTCAACTAAAAAATGCAGAAGACAAAATCTTATTTTTACCTTTAGCAAATCCCAAAACACCCATTTCGTTTGGATCCCTCTTTCGGTACTGAATTACAAGAACTTAGTCCTCCCCCAGCACTAAAACTCAGTTAGTTCACTGAAGGGCCTCCTTGTGGTGTTATTTATGAACAGTTTAATAAGAAAACATTACAAAATTGGTAGTACTCCTGATTAGTCAGTTGCTTTGGCTATGTTTCAAAAAAAAAAAAGTTGTAATACCTTCACGTCCAAAAAACTTGCAGTAATATTTGTACTAATCAACTGGAGTATACAAAATATTTGCCTTGTGGCTGAATTACCCCTGTATCACTACAAGCAATTAATGTTTATAACTACAAATTTTGCTAAGATAAAAGAATATCAAGAATCTACTTCTTCAGAAATATAATTCTAACAAGTAAAGACCAAATTCGGCCTTCCCTCACAGTCATGCAACCACATTTGTTAACTGTCATGAGGGCAGAATTTAGCCTCAAGCCTCATTTTTATCTAAATACACATATTTCCTAAAGAAAAACACGTCATGTCTTACTTATCATTGCTCTTCCCTTCTGAAGGGTAAATATTGATATTTGAAATACCTAAATTGTATTTACAGCTGTACAACACTGATGTCACATACTTGTAAAATAACACTTGCACTCTATAAACATGGGGTAACTTATACAATCCGCTTCAAAAACTTTTCTTAAAATAAAGAAAAAGCAGAGAAGCTTACACATTTTCTTTGTCAAATTCACAAACAAAATACATCGTAATATGACATGCAACGTCATTCCAGCCTCCAGACGCCACCATCTCCACACAGTCCTCCTCGTCATAAGCGTTATTGGGCTCCCCGCTGCGCCATTTGTTGAAGGTCTGCATGGGGGATCGGTCAGAATAGACAAAATTTCCCTCTTTCTCTAGGTCGTTAATGCCTATGAAAACTCTGGTGAGCCCGGCTTGATTGATGTAGGAGGCGATGAGGCTGTTGGCGTTCTCGTCCTTGGGCATGCTCAGTGTTCCTCCTCTTCCGTGGCAGTAGAGCTGGGCTTCCAAGTATCTCTTCTCCTCCTTCACCAGCAGGTATATCTTATTATCTGTCTCACGCACACCAGCAACAGCTGCGGGGGAGGGCAGTGCTGAAAAGTGAGCACTCGCATTTCTATAAACCAACTTACTGTACACCCCAAAATAGCTTCACAAATCAGATGTGAAATGGTGATACTCTCTGTGAGCAATCTCACCGGTCAAATGTGACAACAAGAAAGGAAAATATTGATGAAAAATTAACCTACCATTTTTTATGAATTTTAATTCCGTTGTCAGCTGGGCCACTTGGATATCCATTTCACCAATAGCCTTCCTTAGCTGGCTACACTCACAAGGGATGCCTGCGAAATGACGCAAATACACCAGAATCAATAAGCTATGTAATTCCAATAATTATCTAAATAACTTCATGAAAAGGCCCAGCTGCCTTGAAAAGAGACACCTTCCACCCAAATAATGGGTGAGAACCTGTAGCCTCTGCTGCCCTCTACCATCATGAGATTCTCACGGGTGTTTGGACCTAACCAGAACAGTTCATTTCACTTTTCATTAAACTTCAGTCCTGCATGATTCCTGTTAAACTGAACATGGAGAGATATCCCCTAAAAAAAAAAAAAAAGATTTTTTTTTTTTAAACTAAAACATTTCTCAAAAATTCACATTTAGGATAAAACACTTCTCTTCAGTCTTCTCCAAAGAGCTTTTTTTTTTTTTTTGGCAGCAAAAATCTACAAAGCATATTGTTCATCTATTCTTCACAAGGAATCTAACACAGCAGATCAAAAAGGCAAATGTTCCAGCCACATAATGCACATAATTAGCTGCAAAACATAGCTCTGCACTTTTCAGAATGTTGAACTTACTGTAGTTCTCCTGATAAAAGAAGACAATAGAAAACTATCCATTATTCTAAATTGATATTGGTTTGAAAAAGATAATCTGAATGAGAATACTAAAAGGATAATTGTTACTTCTATGAGACCAAGTTTCAAAACTAGGATCAATTATAGTTTCCAGTTCTGCACGTAATTATTCAAATCTGTATTTGACTACCCAATTACTCAGTTTAGGTATCTAAGTCAGTCTAAGCACTGGGTATGTACAAAACAAAACTGTACTCAGTGAAAGGGTGTATGGTATTCTGGCTCAAGAATTAGACTGAGAAATTATATTCTCATGAGAAAACTCTTTTGGGGCACTTTTAGCACACCAGGTCAGAGAGTTTATAAAGGCACAAAGAGTTAGATGCCGAGTCCCCATCTCTTTAAGATAAGCATCAAAGCAAAAAATGTTAAAATATGGTGAAAATATGTCTTCCTAAGCTACTAGGAAGGAAAACACTGGGCAAAACAACAGTCTGTCACTTTTGTAAATGTTAAGTTTGAAGCCTATTGTCCAGGTCTACTGGCTTACTGGGCCCTTTCATGAAGGGCAAAATAAAAGCCTTTATGTACTTTATGTTCTTAGGCCAGACTTCCACCTTTTCCTCTAGAGGATCTAAAGTCCTGCTGCTACGACGATAATCCACGGAGGGGCAGGGACTTCTCTCACCCACTCCTTTGTGTTAGCTGGAAGCCAGAGTAGTATATGCAGAGATGTCTTTTTGTACCATGATGAATGATACAGACAGTTGTATTTCAGCTCCTACTACACTCCCAGAGTGATCAGACCTCTGAGGAGCTCTGAGACATTGTTTTGAAAAATACATTACAGGTCCAGCAACTTCTGCAGCTTCAATATTTTTTTCTTAAGTAATTTGAAGATACTACAGCAAATAAATCAGGAATAAGTACACAAATACTGAATTGTCATGATTTCCCCCAGTGTTTTAGAAGACAAATGTATTTTTGGTGGTGCATGAATCTTTTAAAATCCTTCACATAGACAAGACTTGCTATGGCTTACCTGGGTCGCCATTAGGACCCGGTGGTCCTATATCACCATTATCTCCTTTTTCACCTAAAAACATGAAAAGGAAGAGAACTTTAAGGCAGCTTTTTTGGTTAACAGTTAATATAGTATCTGCTTAGTTTTTCTCTCGTAGCATTGAAAGTGGTGAGTAGAAATAGGCCTAAGTGAAACTAAAGGTTTTTCTATCTTAGTTGGTCCACAACCCAGGCAAGCCCAAGCTATGAAACTTGAACACAAAAAATATGTCAGACTCATCTACGTTCATTCCATTTTTTGATATTTGTGAACTTCATAGAACCAATAACTTCAGATGTTGTAGAGAGAAAAGGGCTGGATATATTATCTTGCAGCATAAATCTGAATTCATAATCCAAATGCTTAAGTAAATACTGGCCCAAATGATTTAACCAAAGTCATGTAGGAAGACTGTGGGGAAGGCAAGTTTAGAATTCAAGTCTTATGGCTCTTAAAACGATGCCAAAATAAAGTGCACCCTCCTATCCTATCTACACTTGCATGCTAGTGCAAAGTTCTTCATTTAGCCCTAAATCAGCGTTCTCAGCTCTCGCTGTCAGAGCAAAAGGTAATTGGCTGAGATCCTAACCATCTGGTTGACTGCAGTGTGAGAAATTCCCTATTATGATAAACTCTGAGGCAAGTTAACCATTTTTTCAGGCCACTAGACTTTTCTGAAAGATACATCATCACAGATTTTTCATCTGAGATACAACTAGAGAAAGAAATGAATTAAGCATACCTTTTGAACCAATAGGACCAATTTTTCCATGCCGTCCCATGCTGCCTTTCTGTCCTTTGTCCCCCATTTCTCCTGTATATAACAAAAAGACAAAAGACAAAAGGTAAGAAGGTAGTCTGATTCATTCAGGTTCTAGCACCTTTGCAAGATCAGTTTTTACAATGAGTGAAAACATGCTATATCCCCAATATTTGTTGAACTCCAGGGGTCTAGCTCATTCCTAGCTCATTGTCAAGGTCTGATGTCTAGCAACCTAGACACTGATTTAATCTTTGCAAAACAATTGACTTTAATGACGCATGCAGGTGTAAATAAAAATAGATCTTGGCTGAGAGCCGTTGGAAAAGCTTTTGCAAAGTATTTTCAGACAGTGATGCCAGAATTATGTTGAAAATGAGGGGCGATTCCATTAGAACAGGTAGATTGATGGACTAAATCTGTTATGGAGTTGGAAAGACCGAAAGAATCCAAGCACAATTGACAGTTTCATCTAATAGAGTAGCTTCACTGTAACTGAAGTCTGAATTTGGGTATTATGGTTTATTTATATAATGTAAACACAGTGGAAACAGTCTTGTCCTCTAAACATTTGAAGATTACACTAATGAGAAATGAAAATGAATGAAAAACTTGCATGTACACACACACGCACACATGCTCATACAAGTACACAAAGTCTGAGTCAAAACAGGAATGTTGAATGTTACTAATTTTAAAGACAATTCTGTGGAATATTTCAAAGTGCAGTTGTAGCAAAGGAGCCCCTTGAAAACCACATTCCTCAATCCTATTTTTACAAATAAAAGATAACTATCCAACTCCCACGGTGAATAGAAATTGTCAACAAATCTACATTGGACAGGCACTGGCACCTCTCAGTATTCGTCCATGATATATTCCCAGAAATCCAACACAAGACAGTTTGATTTGCTTACTTTATCTGACTTTGACCCCTTTTCTATCAACTGCACTTTCCTGTGCCAGATAAAGCAAATATTGGAAAGGCTTCAGGGGAAACAGAATTTGCACTGGAGCAGGCAGGTTCTTTGTCATCACGCTCTTCATAAACGAGGCTGAAGCATAGCACTCATTACTAATAAAATGTCTGCCACCGTCCAAGTTTTGAAGCTATTGATCTGAGCTCCTCCAGAGCTTAAATAAAAAACACAGATCAAACGTGCCTGTTGTGTCATACAGCTTTTCTGGATGGCGTTTCTCAAACACTATGAAAAAAAAAGGATCTTACTGGTGTGAATGCTGTGAGTAGCACTTTAGCATCTAATAGCAAAGCCTCATCCTACCCTGTATCTGCAATGCTCGTGTACAAGCTTAGGGGATCAGCAGTTGACAGAAATAAATAAGCACTAGCGATTTAATAGGTGAGTACAGCAGGCTTACAAATTAAGATGTTTGGCTTAAACCAGACCATTTATAGTCAATAAACTCTACACAGTCCAAGCTTCTCTCAGCTGCAACTAACTCTTTATGCAGATTATTATCTCTAAACGATAATTGGTTCTGGCATTGCTTTAGGAAGGATTACCGGCTTTGTTTTAAGTAGACTTTCTGAGACCTATGGAAGGAGACCTTACATTTTGTTACGCTCACTATGCAATGTGGCAGAGTTTGTCTGATTGTGGGGCTAACTATGGCCCTGAAGACTTTCAGGAAATAATATCATGGCTCCATATTTGTTGGCCATACTCCTTCCTAGGTGCAGCACCTGAGTAAGTCAAAGCTCTGCCATCAGATTTAGTCTTCTTTGTACCATGACTTTGGGCACGAACATGATCCGGATGCTGCACAGCTGTGGAACTACCTCATCTGAGACAAGTTTTCGACTGTGCCACATACATAGCATTAATAGAGAGAAGGGATGAAGAGATAAATGGGAAGAGAAGCCTAATGCTCCTAAGACTCCCATCCTCCAGAAACCCAAGACTGAGACTGCTCTGAGAAATATTGGCACAGTTTATTCAATGATTGTCTCACCCAAGATTATTTATTTGCTCAAAGCCACATCTGTTACACGCTGTTTAGCTATATAAGAAATCAATGAGGCAAGTTCAGCAGAAAATCTACTATAGGGATCAAGCAATTGAACCTGTGTAAATTGTCATAGTTCAGGCCCAGTTGTGGATCTGTGACAATTAAAGATCTGTTGTCAGGATGTGGGATTCACTGTGAGAGTCACGTACTTCCTGTATATACTTTTAAAAGCTGGATAATTTTATGACTGATTTAATCATTATTTAAAAGCGTAATTAATGGCATATTTCAGGACATAAACTGATTATCACCAGGCTAAGAGGAGATGTCCTCCCTGTCACTCCAAGAAGTTTCACACAACTATCAGTTGATGGCATGGTCAGGAAAAGATCACTTCCTCTGAACTGTCAGAAGGCAAATGTGTATGGTTTGTTGATCTAATTCATTACTGGCAAGGCTGATGATCAATGAATTTCCTTTGTTTCCAGTAAGAATCGTACTCAGTCACTACTGGACACACACTCAGTTAAGAAATTTTACCAGCAACCAAAAATATTTTTCTCTTATTCTGTATATTCCTACTGGAAGAATAGGAAGAATCCATTCAATCAGCTGAAGAAGTTTTTTTCTGGAATATAGCTTCACTTTCAGAATAGATTATTGGTTTGCTTTAAAGACTCAATCCATGGGGTTGTGCAAGTTATAAAAGTACTGATGCTACCATTGGATGTTCATCCAATATAGATCGCATATTAAGGATGTATTTTCCTGAAAGTCTCCAAAAATATTAGCTTGCAATGACTCTATCAAGTTGTTCTGAAAGTGAATTTTCTCATTTTGGATTCTGTTGATTTGGGATTACAAAAATAGATTGTATCAGATATTTGCTTGCTGTTCCATATTAACTCTTTTCAAGCAGCTATATCTGAAATTAAATAGGCATATATATATAGCGAACAAAATAAATATAATAAATAAATGGGACTTCACTTTCTTTCTTGTAAAGACTGCCCAGAAGATGACTACTTTTCAGTAATAGCCAGTAAGAGCTATGTGATCTGCTCAGAAGTAAAAGTGTGAGATCTCAAACAATGAAGACATAATATTAAGTCTCCTGTACACATTAAAAGAACTGTTTGGATTTGGTTTTCTCCGACAGCGACTAACCCCTGCTTCTACTCTAGGGGCTTGCTTATTCTGCTTGTTCTGCAGAATAAATCACAGGATTTCAAGAGAGACTCATCTGCCTTGAGGGTTTTCAAAAGCTTGAATACCTTCTGTGAAGTCCTTTTTAGTGGCTCTATGATTGCCAAAAATGCAGTCTAAAAAGTCATAATGAAATCAGGAAGTGACAGTTGAAAAGAAATGAGGACAGGGAAAGAAATTAAGTCCCAATAGACCAAGTGTAGGAAATTTAACTGAAAGTGAATGGAGAATACGAAGCAAGTCATCTGTCATCTCTCAGATGAAGATGATATACACTGGAACCAATTATAAAAGACTGAAAGGATTTTGGAAGGAACTAAAGTCTAAATGACCTTTTTGGTGGTCCTTTCAGGCCCACAAACAAAAGAAGAAAGAAAATACCAGAGATGAATGGCAGGCTGCACAGCCAGTGGAAAGATGAGGGCTTTGGCTCTGTGGAGTACTGTAAATGGGGTTATTCATACAGCATGACCCATCTTTTCAGATAAGATTAATTGGAACAGACGAGAAGGTAAGAAAAGGAGAAGGGCCAAAAAGACAAATCCAGCAGAAACTCAAATTCACCATGTAACTGACAAATAGAACTGAGTGTGTCAAGGAGAAGAAGAGAACTGCTGTTTATATCCCAAACTTACGGGATTTAAGAAAAGTCAAATGAAAATTCCTATTTATAAGATGGAATTTGACATAGTGGATGTCACAGAGACCTACCTAACAGCATAAGTAGAAGTGTACCAAACCAAACGAAAGGTCTGTCAAGTCCAGTGCCATCTTTGACAGCAATGAGTACAGGATATTTAGAAAAAGAATGTACGTTCCAGTCCAAGCTTAGAGTGTCGTTCGCCGGTATAGCTCCTTAGTCTTGCGGCAATCAACTTTCCCAATGGAAATGTTTAACCTGACTTGAATGGGAATAAATAGCATTTTAAAAGATAATGATGTTATGGTATGGTAGTACTTTATATTCAAGACACTTATCTTTTAGAACTATTGACAACTAGAAGTCCAAAAATTATGAATAAACCAGCAGACTATGGTACTACTTCACGCTAAAGAAATCTGAATTATGCACACCACTGAAGGCTGGTGATTGTCTAGGGAACAGTGATTACAACCCAGTTACATCTTTTATGAACAAACAGTGGATAATCCCACGTGGTTTTTTATGTGGTTGGGGTAGATTCATTTCACCCAGCATTAGCCACCTGAAAGTTAGGTGTTTAGTCTAAGCTATTTAGCTAAGTTCCCTTGGTAGGCAATGCAGAAATAAACACCTCTCAGCAGTGATTCATCCCACTCACGTTAGACAGGTATCTTAATGACAAAGTGAAATTTTAAAAGCTTCGCATAACAAACAGGAAAGAAGAAACAATATGAATCCATACTAAGTAGAAATCAGGCTAGAAAATTTGTAGGGAAGCTAAAGACATTAAGAAAAATTCAGATCTAGTAAGACAGAGGAAAAGTTTAATGGATTTTAAAGTATATTCAAAACAAAATCAGTGGTGATACTATGGTCCATTCCTATATGAGGTTTTTATATTCAAATGCACACATACACAAATAACTGCAGTTATAAAATATCTATCTTTGCAGAATTATGTTAAGAATACAATACCCAGCTTGTTCACACTAGCGGTTCCTCTAGCCCAGTGCCCTGATTCCCACAATGACAGTGGGAGCTGCTATTAGGGAGAGCGTGCAGCCGTAGGCACTGTTTACAGCCCGTATCAGTGCGTTTTCCCAGCAATGCACCATCACTGGAGTAAGGATCCTAGTGAGGGACACATTCCTGCACATTCCCTTTAATATCTGATTATGTTCTCGGCACCTAATCCCTTTCTGACCCTAGTGATACTTTCTGCTTCCACATGTCT